TACGGCGGTAGATGAACGTATTAACGAGATATTACCGTTAGCGAAACTGCTAGACCTCGTAGTTAACGCTGAACCCCCCCCCCCATTACCCCTACAAAACTTACTGCCTCCTTGACTGCTACTACCGATCTCCCTCTCTCTCCTTTGCCCCCCTTAGACTATCCCAAATAGCGCCAACTCTGAAAACTACTGCTAGTCTTAAGTTGTTTAGCATGCGCTTTGTTACGGTAGTAAAAAATCTTAGTTATTAATTCTCTACAAAAAATAATAATTAATCAACACCCGGGTTGCATTTAGAATTATATTTGAGTTTGTGCCCCATGAGCAGCAAGTAAAAGTCTACATCCTAGTCACAGCATTTAAGAAACATCAACTTAAAATTTCAAAATAAACAAATCACTACTATTCCTCTGTAATTTGTTTTTCCTTTGAAAGATTTCCCGTGGGAAGACAGGCGCGGGGCTTTCAAAACTGCCCCTCCGACGAGGCCTGAAGACTACGTCTGCTATTTTACCAAGTGGAAATTCTTGGAACCGTGGAAAGAAAACCGATAACTAACTCCGCATGTGGCAATACTCACTCATAATTTCGCAGTTTTAAATATTCCGACATCTTTATCTTTACTATTTTTACTTTGTCACATTAAGACCTATAATTTCATTTAATTCTAAGCAATAAAAAGACATTAAATAAATTTTCGTAATTCCAATAAAAATATGAAAATATGCACACCAAGTAACTCATAACCTTCAAAGTGATACTTCGCCTTTTTTATTATAGAAACTATTATTTTTAGCTCTCAATTCCACAAAGCCTGACGATCTCCTATGCTACAAAATAGCCCAATTATGTGAACTGGAGACAATATGAACCTATAGGAGGAAGGCAACAGACTTGCTTCATATCCTTTAATATATAGTCCGAGGTTGGCTACAGTCCAATTAGACAATTCGTATGGAGGCGTCTTGCCTTTGTGGTGAGGAGGTCATAGTCCTACTCTCAGACGTTAGTCCATCAATGTCAAATAAATTATGTCTATGGAGACATCTGATCATCATTTGCCTGTTTATGTGCGCAGAAATTACGGCGGCTCCCTCTTGCTCTCCGCCACTGAAAATGGTCATATTACGACCATCTATTAGAACACTTCCATTATGAACCTTTTGTCTTTACCGCCCCCCCCCCTCCCCCGCCACACGCTAATGTTAACTAAAAAAAATACATTAGCAATAGGGCCGCCTGCCTATCTTCAGGAATATGAATGTTCCTCACACACCGCCGTATATAAACACACCAGAGTAAATGAACATGGCGTTTATGGCTGCACTAATAACATACAGTAACCATCCAACAATATGAAATTCCCAAGAAAACAGGGCGTGCTAAGAGGAAAAAACGCGTTTTGACGCATGTCAGCAGAAACGACTCATGCCACACATTTCGTTTTGCTGCTGGATAAAAGGGGATTGTTTCCTATGACAAGTGTTTCTTAAGACTAATGCAAGTAAAAGAGCATACCAGGTGAAATAAGCTAAACTTCAGTCGGTGAAATGAATGAATTGGTCCTCTAAACTCTCACAAAATCGTCTAATTCACTTTTCTTTATTAAGTTTTCGAAGTGTAAAAAAAAAAAAAAATCGCTGGGTATAAGTAAGGAGTCGTTTTATCACCTGACCAGGATCACTATCCCTCCCTTCCCATCCTCACTATCCCCCTTCCCATCTGAAGTGACCTTCTTAAATCGTATGCGTCGCCTTCCATAATTTTTGCATCTTCGTTTGCATATTAATACTTTTGAAAGAATCTGGCTTGATATCAATGCCATTTACCGCAGATTATCATCCTGCTTCCCTACCGAGACTCATCATGAATGCCACTCCCTTACACTACTACATTAACTAAGAATCATCAAACTGCACTCATCTACTTCAAAAACGATGTAATTTAGTAACATTCCATCTGATCTATATTTTGTTTATTAACATTTATACGAGTAACTATATAAACGAGTCTAATGTGTTTATATTTAAACTGCTGCTGATGCTTAGCAAACTCTCGCCCTCCTCACTCACGTTTAGTCAAAGTTACCTACCGGACGCGGCATAACTTGACCTACTCAAACCCTTCATTTCCTACTTCGCCGCCATATCGCTATCTCCCGAGACACCCCCACTCCCCTCTTAACCAAGTCTCCTCGTCTCCCCAAGCTAATGCACAGTTATTACACAAGCCAATAATTAGCAGTAGTCAGCCAATTAACTAGTTGGGTGCACATACAACGATAAAAAAAAAAAAAGACAAATATGGGAGAAAGCTAAAATTACATTAATAAATTGTTTGACTGTTAATGTAAAAATAGTTATTCTGGTCAAAATTCAGCTAACTTTTTTTTGTAATTATAACTACTGCTAGAAACTTACACGTATATTTGTAATTTGTTTAGGATGTGGCTCACGGGTTAGATGATAGTTTGCTTCACAACTCTTTGTTTTAAGTGAAGTTTAAAGGGAGTTAATCTGGCATGAGAAATCTGCCGAGGATGTCAGAGGTGGGCATTACTATAATATTTTCAATGAGCGATACAGTTTCTTTTAAAAGTTTTAATATCCTGACAACGATAAACATGTTCTTTTCCTGTGCCTAATACACTGTAAGAAAGCTCTCTGAAGTTGAATGCTTGACTTACATGGAGCATCCCCCTCTTGCTCAAGCGCTGATTTACATTTCAATTCAATTTAAAGATATGGTCGCCAGTATCGTTCTCCCGGAATCACTAACCCAAAAACTTTCTACAATGGCAATTTTTGCACTAAAGGGAATTTAGTGACCAGTTCTTCCCCACCATCTCTTACTCTTAATTATATTATTATAATCAAAAAGAAGCGCTAAGACACAAGGACTATACAGCGCTGCAGGGCAGGAAGGAAGCGAGGGCATCAGGTGGCAAAAGGGAGATGGATGAGTAATAGGTTACCTCAATTTTCAACAGTGCACGATTCAATAATATCACTTGAAACAGCGTTTTTTTTGGCGCTTCAAATATTTACACACGTTACCCCGCTGAAAGGTGGATGCAACATCTCCCGTTTTCTCTCTCCTCTCTCTACTACCAAGGTTTATAAGCCATGGCATACCTTTCTACCCTTGCTGAGTTTCGAATTTACCTACTCCCGGAGCCCAGCCTGGGGGAAAGACATCATATACCTATGCTACACAACGCCGTTGGGGGCCATTTGTTTACCAGAAATAAAATCCCAATGCAACACGTAATACCTCCCTCTTTAAAATAAAATAAAAATGTGAGTTTTATTTGACTTATTTTTATTATGAAATACTGGTGAAAAATGAGGTGAAGCTTGATGAATAGATCCAAAACATTCAAAGATTTAATAATATACAGTGAAGGACAGTTTTATTTAATTCACAATAATATTCTTTTATATATAAATCTTCTACCTTACATAAAGGCCACTAAACATGATATACAAAATTATTCACAGTTCATTCATTGCATATGAATAAACTACAAAACAAAGCTTACCATATACTACTAGTGACAATAATTACCTCACATTAAAATGTTTAATTTTCATGTACAATTTACCTAGCAGAAGTAATCATGCATTGCTTAACACTTCAGTTATACCAGTTTAAATGTCACACCAAAGGGGGTATGTGCTTATTTAAATATACCAAAAGCAGGCTAAGTTATCTACACAACAAAGTTGGAACTTCCCTCTCAATTCATGTGCAAATCAGTGCTTCAAAACTTCTTATATGGCAAGTTTCATGGAGCAATATGACATTTAGTCTCGACATTAGCTATGCAGGCCGTCTCTAGTGGATTAGCTCTGGGTACATCTTAGTCAAAATATCAAAGTACCAGTCAGTTACTACTTTTTCCTAAATGGCAAAACAATCAAAAACTTTATTTGAAAGTCACTGGTATTGGTTCTGCATTTTTGTGCACTTAGAAAACCATAAAGTCTTGAATTTCTTTAGTTTTTAAATGGTTTGCATTAATCTGATCCACTCATTGCAAAATGTGAATACTTTGACTCTTCTGTGAACTCCATTTCGTGTATTATTAGTTATGTTACATATCACTTCTCCAATACTGATAATTTCACTCTAGTGCTTTTAACTTATGTATGTAATAATGATTCACGTCTCAAATAGAAAAAGTAATCTATAGATTCTTTAAATGCCTGAAATAATTTGTCACTGACAAAAATATTTCCCAATGTCTATTGTACGTCGTCACTTCCCTCTAAGATACAAGAGGCGGGTTTCATGTAATCTAAAAAAAGAGTGAATCGGATCGACCTTTTCTCGGTATCTCGTCGGACTTTCTAGAAGTCTCATTTGAGGTATCCGAAGCCTCACTTTAGTCCGGGTCAGCGGGGTGAAGCCTAGCCCCTCTCCTCCTGACTAACGTTCCTTCACCTAACGCTAAGTTGACGAAGTTTCTAAAGCTCTGTAAAGCTCTTAAGTTCTGTGGGAAAAACTCAGACTGTACTGTAAAGCTCTAAGCTCTAAAGCTCTTGAATCAATTATCTGGGGACTCGCAGTATAGTATAATTCACTGGGACAATCAGGTCTTCATCATTGATAACATTTCCAAGCCTTGACAACAAAAGTGAGTTAACTTGTTCATCTTCTTGCTTAGGACGAAGCGTCTACAGTAGTTTTAACTCGCTCTTCCTCGAGTCGGCAGAGAAAAATTCACGAAAAAAGCGGTACAATTTAAAAAATTCTTCTTCGAAAGTACGCAATATTATACTATTAATATATAAACATGTTTTTACACTAAAAATTAAAGATATATATATTTATATATACCATAAGATATCGATAATTGTATATACAGATATACAAACATATACTGTATATACCATAGAATAACGTACCGCACTAAAAGTGACTGACTCATATTGAGAAAAGTTATTAGGAAGAGTTAAAATAAAACAACAATTAAAGATGACTAGGTTTGCCCCTACCTTGATGTGGTAGGAGTTGATTTTGTGGCGTGGTAAGGCGTTGAAACTGCTGAAGTCTGGCCTTCGCGCGAACATACCGCTCCCTCCTGAGCCATGTCTGTCACAAGAAAAAAAAACATCAACTTTCTGCCACAACCGTGAAAAAAAAAATGTTGACTGTCTGGTGAAGGTCAAATCTAGAAAAGATGCAAGGAGAAATTTTGGAATTACTAGAATGAAAAAAAAAGAAAAAAGAAACATCAGCAGGAAATATGGCTGAAAATAACCTAGTCCCGCATTGCAACACTATGTATACAGGATATCGCATTTTAATGAATCATTTTAGCACTTCAATAATAATAAACCAGCGGCACAACTGTCACTGACAAACCATTAATTGTTTTATATTTACGTTCAATAACCAAGTTTAAACACACTAACAGCCATCTTGGTGATTAGGTCAGTGAGTGGGGAGGCGAAAAGTGAAATGTGTGTGGGTGAGTGATAGAGGGAGGGGGAAGAATAGGTCAAGGGAGGAGCGTCTTCTGGTTTCCATGACAACGAAGGAGCTAGTCGATGGCACTCAACCAGACCAAAGCACTTGAGAATATCTTAACCTCTCATATACGAATTACAAAAAAAAAAAAAATAAAAAAAAAAAGTCCAGTCAGTTCCTGGGGTCGAGTGCTGGGCGCCATATTATATAGGTACCTCCCATTCACGTCAGATTGATTAACAAAGCTTTTGTCCAGAAACTTACGAGATTAACTAGTCCACCAATGCCTGAAGTAATTAGGGATTAAAGCAAGCAATGTATATATAATCATAAGATACCCTTTAGTGTATATGCCGTAGCTCACTTGAATACGACAGACAGAAGACGACGAAGAATCACCGAGCTCCTCTGGAACGCTAGAATATCTGATACACGGAAGGAAGTGCTGACCAGTGAAGTGGAAACTATCGAACTTAAGTTAAAGGACTCTTACAGGAACCAGGAGAGACAAGAGGAACTTAAAGCTATTAGTGAAATTAAAAGAAATTCGAAATATTTTTCATATGCCAAAAATAAGGCAAATACCACATCTAGTATCAGGCCCTTACTCAGACAGGATGGGATTTATACAGATGACAACAAGGAAATGAGTGAATTTCTGAAATCCCAGTACGACTCTGTTTAGTGAGCCACTAATCAATGTGAGGACCGACAATCCAAATGATTTCATGAAAGAGCCTCAAAATTCCATCAATGTATGCCAGATTTCCGACATTACCTTAACTCCGATAGACTTTGAAAAAGCCATTGACAACATGCCCATGCACTCAGCCCCGGGCCCAGACTCGTGGAACTCCGTGTTCGTTAAGAACTGCAAGAAACTCCTCTCACGTGCCCTAAGTACACTATGGAGGAGCTTAGACATGGGTGAAATTCCACAGTCACTTAAAACAACGGATAGCCCCACTCCATAAAGGTGGCAGCAAAGCATTAGCTAAGAACTATAGACCAATAACTATAACGTCCCACATCATAAAAATCTTTGAAAGAGCGCTAAGAAGCATGATTGCAAGCCACCTGGATTTCCAAAATCTGCACAATCCAGGGCAACATGGGTTCAGGGCAGGTCGCTCCTGCCTCTCACAACTACTGGATCACTATGGTATGGCCTTGGATGCACTGGAAGAAAAACAGAATGCAGATATAATATACACAGACCTTGCAAAAGCGTTTGACAAGTGCGATCATGGCGTAATAACGCACAAAATACGTGCTAAATGAATAATTGGCAAAGTGGGGAGATGGAAATTCAACTTCCTAACCAATCGAACACAAAGAGTAGTGGTCAACAGAGTTAAATCGGAGGCTGCCATAGTGAAGAGCTCTGTTCCACAAGGCACAATACTCGCCCCCATCCTGTTCCTCATCCTCATATCAGACAGACAGATGTAATCCACAGCACCGTATCATCCTTTGCAGACGATACTAGGATTTGCATGAGGCTGTCATCTACTGATGACACAGTTAACCTCCAAGAAGATATAAACCAAGTTTTCCAATGGGCAACGGAAAACAATATGATGTTCAATGAGGACAAATTCCAACTACTCTGTTATGGAAAACTGGAGGAGATAATAACTAGAACAGAGTATACTACAGACTCTGGCCATACAATAGAGCGAAAAAATAATGTAAGGGACCTGGGAGTAGTAATATCTGAGGATCTCACTTTCAAGGTTCACAACAGTGCCACGATCACAAGTGCAAAGGAAATGATAGGATAGATAATGAGAACGTTCAAAACGAGAGATGCCAAGCCAATGATGATCTTTTATAAAGCAGGTGAAATTGCAGATCTAGAGTGTACAGAGAACCTTTACTACACGTATAAGTTCTGTCAATCACCTTAACTACTGAGAACGCTTGGAAGCACTTGACTTGCACTCGTTGGAACGCAGGAGAGAGAGATATCATAATCTACACTTGGAAAATCCTAGAAGGAATGGTCCGGAATCTGCACACAGAAATCACTCCCGACGAAAGTAAAAGACTGGGCAGACGATGCAAAACACCCCCAATTAAAAATAGGGGCGCCATTGGTACACTAGAGAAAACACCATAAGTGTCCGGGGCCCAAGACTGTTCAACAGCCTCCCACCAAGCATAAGGGGAATTACCAATAGGCCCCTAGCTACCTTCAAGAGGGAGCTGGACAGATACTTTAAAGTCAGTGCCGGATCAGCCGGGCTGTGGTTCGTACGTTGGACTACATGCGGCCAGCAGTAACAGCCTGGTTGATCGGGCCCTGATCCACAGGGAGGCCTGGTCGTGGACCGGGCCGCGGGGGCGTTGATCCCCGGAATAACCTCCGGGTAATATAAACATATACATTATAAAATCGTTTTTAGCTTACCTGCAAGTACCGAAGAAGAGCCTTTGGGGGTCGAACGAGGAAGATGGGATCATTATTATAATCAAAAAGAAGCGCTAAGCCAAAGGAAGATGGGAGAGATTAAAGATAGGTTTGTGAGAAGAGTCTAGGATATCATTTTACTATGTCGAACGCACGGCTTGTCGTTAGACAAGTATGAACGATGCTGACACCAATTGATGATTAAGCCAAATGGATTAGAGCCAACATTCAGGTTTGATGCAAGAAAGGGAAGGGCAGGTCTAATTTCTACGTATATTATTATTATTATAATCAAAAAGAAGCGCTAAGCCACAAGGGCTATACAGCATTTCTACGTATAACAATAAATCAAGAGGATTATTATTATTATAATCAAAAAGAAGCGCTAAGCCACAAGGACTATACAGCTAAATCAAGAGGAAATTATAAATTAAGAGGTAATTGGATTTGATCCGAGGGAGAGCTCCATTATTATGATCAAGGGGGAAGCGCTAAACCCGGAGGATTATACAGCGCCTTGGGGGGGATGTGAAAGGCATTCAGGCTTAATTCGGGGAACTGGAGCACAGATCAAATTCCCTAAATCAAGAGCCCCTCACCAGCATCAAGGACCTTCCTTGTATCAAGAGCTTCTCAGTAGCATCAAAGCACCTCTTGAGGGGAGGATTATAATAATCAAGAGGGAAGCGCTAAACCTGTACGATTATACAGCGCCTGTGGGGGATGGAAGATATTCAGGCTTAATTCAGATCCAGTGGCCTACATCAAGAGCCCCTCACCAGCATCAAGAATCCCTCATCAATATCCCCTCACCAGCATCAAGGAACCTTCCTTGGGGGTTGAGGGGAGGAAATGAGCTCTTAAATTAAAATTCTGAAAATACTTCGTAAATTACTTACATCGTATTATTTAAATTCGTATTATGAAAATTCACAAGTTATTCGGTAAGATCAGTGTTCAATTCACTGTGAAAGCCTAAACCCGTATGGTCATACAGTTCCTGAGGAATGGGCAGTAATTAGACTTCATCAGAGGAAGGGGAGTTTACCTGGAGTCGATTTTGAGGTAACCGCTGAGGCTACCTGATCAACTGTGTTGTGATGTATCTGTTGGACTGTGTCAGGCGGGCCCTAAGAGTGATCGATCAGACCAATAACCAGGCCTGGTCTGGGACCGGGCAGCGGGGACGGTGACCTCCGGAAGCGACTCCAGGTAAACTTCCCTTCCTCTGATCAAGCTTAATTACTGTCCGACTTCACTGTATCAAGCGCTCTTCAACAGCATTAAAATACACATGAAGGCAATACACAACGAGAGACATTTCGATAATATATGAAAGTTCATTAGTCATTTGTTAAAACTGCAAACTCCCAGCGCTGCGAATCGGTACGCTAAATTACCTGCCCCAGTTCCTGACTGCACTTGCAACTAAATGCATGAAAAGTGTCTTTAGTCATGCAACATTATCCGTTTCTTTCCGTGCACACACATTACCTAAAAAAAAAAAAAAATCCGAAACAAAGACTGCAAACATAATCAGCAGTTCAGTTACCCAAACTAAACTGCCCAACTCAGCAATTTATCATGATTACGGCTTGCACAAAAGACCAGGCGATAAATGTGAGAGGCGAAGTTCCATATCGCAGTGTCGGCGGGTGGTAAACTGGACCTTACCGACTCCCGCCCTAGCCACCTCTCACCTTCAATCATGTAAACCCTCTAAAACGACCTCAATTTAGGAGTTCATTGACCCTGGCAAGCTAGTGTCCTGAATTCCGTGCCACAAATGCATTCCCTTTCCCATCTCTGCAGTATGGATTAGCCAGTCAGTTCCCATTCACAAGTGTCGCTGGAATTATCACACTTCCTTGTTTTGGGGTTTGTTGTCATTTCCCCTACACACAAAATTAAAATTAGTGAAATATTTATGTAGACTTCGGAGTGACTCAGGAATATAAATAACTACCTTTACCGACCAGTTTCAGGTCTTAAAATATTAAAGAAAAGAGCGAGCACAACTACGATCAAAGGCAAGAGAAAATTTGGGGTAAAGCCTAGCCAACTAGGTGAGGCACTGACGTCACACACTGATGAAGGGGAATGGGGGGACGCCCCTCATGGGACTCAACTACTCAACTCCCCTCTCCAACACTCCAATCCCTCAGCCCCCACCCGGTTGCCATGGAGCTATATTGGATGCTATTCTTAG